GGCAGACTTTGGGATGGCGAAGCATGTAAGTGTGTACATAATCTTTCTCTAATTTAGACAAAATGATGTTGAATAAAGTAGGAGCTAACACACGTTTTGGAAATTGAAGATTTGGAGTCACTAAATTGCTGGAGTATGAATAGATTCTTGTGGAGAGTGATCTGATAAGTTTAAATATATTTAGATACAAATAAAAGACATGTAAAAATATTAATCTAGTGATCTTGCAGTTCATTGGTGGAAAATCTGTAATATCTCTTTACTGAAGGCTGCTTGACAACATTATTTGTATTTTCTTGTAGATTGCTGGGCAGTCATGTCCACTATCGTTCAAGGGAAGCCCTTACTGGATGGCACCTGAGGTCAGAATTTTTCTACTTTGAGCTTTATATACATGGCCTTATGCATTTCTTGGCTGCGAAACTTAGTCCATATCTCCATTTCTTTCCAGGTAATAAAGAACTCGAATGGTTGCAGCCTTGCTGTGGATATATGGAGTCTTGGATGCACTGTTTTGGAAATGGCTACAACAAAACCACCCTGGAGCCAGTATGAGGGGGTCAGTAATAGACATAGCACGACATAAAATTTTACATTTTTAACCTCCATAGCCTTTTGTCAAAGTTTAATTAATTCTCCAGCTTATTTGTTGGGAGTATTTAATCTCTGTCAAAGTTGTTAAAATCTACTTCCATTAATTATGGTATTCTGATGTTTGGACTGTCATAATGTTTAGGTTGCTGCCATGTTTAAGATTGGAAATAGTAAGGAACTACCAGCTATTCCAGATCACATCTCAGATGACGGAAAGGATTTTATAAGGCAATGTTTGCAACGTAACCCACTGCACCGACCGACAGCTGCTCAGCTTTTGGAGCACCCTTTTGTGAAATATGCTGCTCCATTGGAAAGGCCCATCGTGGGCGAGCATTCAGATCCATCTCCTGGGGTTACAAATGGAGTGAAAGCTCTGGTATTCTTTCTTCTCTTTCCTGTGGTCAGGAGACTTTTTCTATTGTCAAACTTCTTTTCTGCCATGATCATTAGTTGCATTATAATTGTAGTAATTAAAAATCGTAATAAATATAATTGAGAAAATTAGAATTAGTAATTAATTACTTCAAAAGAAGAATTAGTAATTAATAAAAATTTGAAATATTTTTAAGCTCTCTTGATATGTTAGTAGACAGATAATTATTTAATGAAAAGGGTGACTCTTGTCCTTTTTGGTTATTGAACTAAAGTTTTGGCTAAAAGTTCATAATATACCATTAACTTAATAGTTTTTTAAGTATAAAACCCAGAATAACAAACACTTTTCGAGCTTAAAGCACCATGAACTAAAGCCAACATGACTAAAAGCTATATGAACTTAAAGAACCACAAAAGACAAAACAATCTATACGGCCTGGATATTTATTTACAGAGACCAACAGCACTGACAGATAATTCAGAATGTAGTCAGATTGATATGATCTTTAGAGTGATGTTCCTTCGAGAAAGTGTGTAAATAATCATTGGATTAGTATCTCATTGCAGTAGATGAGTGACTATTAACATAGTTCATTTAGTTGATTGTGGTTGTCAACTAAGCATCATAAGTACTATGGAAGAGGATGCCGTTACTTGTCATGAAAACATAATTGTATACTGGGATAAAATGTGCACTGCTTGGTTTCTGTCTATAAGATAAAAAACCAGGTTCCCTGATTTGTGCAGACCTTAGCTGTTCATTTGCTGATAGGCCTTTGTATGTAAACTCAACCAGCATAGCATCATAATCTTTTACTGGATTTTGGCAAGCACTCTAATCAACTAACTTCTTATGCTTGTTTGTGGCCCATCTACCTGTCTATAACC